ACAAACACATGCACACACTCCACACACACACAAACACATGCACACACACCACATACACATAAACACATGCACACATATAACACACATGCATACACAGCACACACACTATACACACACAACACACACATTCACACAAACATACACACATGCACACAAACATACACACATGCACACATACACACACAAACACATGCACACAAACATACACACATGCACACACAGCACACACACTATATACACACAGCACACACACACATGCACACAAACACATGCATACGAACATACACACATGCACACAAACACGTGCATACGAACATACACACATGCACACAAACACGTGCACACAAACATGCACACATGCACACAAACACATGCACACACGCACACATACACACACAAACACATGCACACATACAACACACATGCACACACAGCACACACACTATATACACACAGCACACACACACATGCACACAAACACATGGACACAAACATACACACATGCATACAAACATATACACATGCACACATACACCACACACACACACCACACACACACCACATACACCACATACACCACATTTGTACATGTGCACACACACACACACACAACATGTTCAATCAACTTGCACTGAAATAGTAACAACAGCTGTCTCACACCTGAGAGACTGACTACTGGTAGTCACTCAGCTCAGAAGGCTGGCTGCCTCAGCAGTTGCAATCTGATACCCAGCCAATGAGTGGAAACACTGGTTGTGATGTTAGTGAAGGATTCAGCAGCAGCAGCAGCAGCAGCAGCAGCAGCAGCAGCAGCAGCAACAACACGGTAAACTCACTGGGCAGCAAGAGGGAAGGCCAAGCAGGCAATAGGCGGGTAATCTTCCATCTGCCATTTTATCAGGGCTGATCAGAGAGCACTGCCCAGTCATTTACAGCAATGGGAGGACAGTTCAGTCAAGGATTCCTTGTCAGGCGATTCTAATTTAATAATTAGATTTCTAATTTGTGGCAAGTTGAGATCACAACCAACGGTTACTCCTACCTTCCCTTTCCCCAAACCTTTTAACTGAAGTGAAAAAAAAAAATCCCAGGCTGTAGAGGAGAAGGGCTCACTGCTCTCTTCAGCCCAACCCCCCACACGGGAGGAAAGAGGTGTGGCCTCTCTCTCTGGGGAGAGGGGTCTCAGAGGAAACCCAGTTAAGTAGGGGATGCTTGCCTTGTCCTCAGACCCTGTTGAAATCAGGTCTCCCAGACCTAAGGATACCCTTTCCCCGAGTCAACCGACATTAGCAGCGTTGACCAGCCCCTGGAGACTTGGCTGTGGCCCCCCAGCTCCTAGGGTGCAGAGGGTGATCTAGGGGCTGGGACCACCCTGGGAGTGGGCTAAGGTTTGTGGTGGGCACTGTGAGCCTGTTCTCAGGGACACCAGAGAAGGGGTTTGAAACCCAGCAGGTTGAATTTCCAAAAACTGTAGTGGGATCAGGCATAGTTTCTCAGCCATCTGATTGTGGTTTTAAATGGGAAACACAAGCCTGGGGGGGGGGGGCTGCTTTGCATGCCCCTCCCCTCCCCCACCCCAGAACCCACCACAATGCTTAGTTTCTGCAAGGCAAACATGTGATTATATTTATTTCACAGGCCTGGGAGCCTGATTGATATTGTCAACCTCCTCCCTGCTGGGGTCATTAGCCTGGGGTTTCTACCAGTTTTTTTCCCCCTCCCAGGAGTTGAGGGTAGTGAGGACTTACCAAACTGGGGTAGAGAGAGATCAGAATTTTAGGATGAGCTTTGGGTTACCTGGACTAATTAGGGCACCTCAGTTGTTCTATCTGTAAGATGGAGATGACAGCTCTCCTGTGGCAAACAGCCACCCACAGTCTGTGATAAGCCTTGGTTTCCATGTCCTGTGTCCCCAGTATAGAGAACTAACGTGCGTAACTAATAGTAATACATTACAGAAATGATTGATAAGTGACATCTGAGGTCTGATCTGGACGATATGGCTTCCTCCAAGTTCGATCCCAGGCTACGTCTTCTGGGGGAAGCCAGCTGGCATGTTGTAAGGATGCTGAAGTGGCCTCTGGGCTGAGGGACTGAAGCCTCTAGCCCAGTGGATCTCAACGTGTGGGTCGTGACCCTTTAGGGGGCGTCAAACGACCTCATCACATGGGTCGCCTCAGACCATCCTGCATATCAGATATTGACGTTATGAGTCATGACAGTGGCAAAATCACAGTTAGGAAGTAGCAACAAAAGCTGGTTGGGGGGGTCACCACAACATGAGGAGCTGTAGTAAAGGGTCACAGCATTAAGAAGGTTGAGAACCACAAATCTAGTCACAGCTAGGATCTGGAACCCTCCCCTACCTCACCCACAGGTGACCACAGCCCAGGGTGACATTCCTCTGCAACTTTTTTTTTTTCAGTACTAGAACTGAACCCAGGCCCTCATGAACGCCGGATGAGCACTCTACGACTGAGTTACTGTAGACTTAACTCCATCAGTACTGTTTACTTAACTTGTTAACTTATTTTCAAGGCAGAGTCTCACTCTGTAGCCTCGGCTAGCCTGAACTCTCCATGTAGAACAGATCTACCTGCTTCTGCTTTAATCCCAGAGCTCTGGGATTAAAGGTGTGAGCCAGCAAGCACAGATTTACTACATTTTATTTTGAGACAGAGTCTTACTAAGTATTTCCTATTAACTTTGAATTCACCGTGTAGCCAAGGCTGGCCTTAGATTTCCAGTCCAATCTAAACTTCCTGATTAGCTGGGATTACAGGCCAGAGCCACCAGGCTCAGTTTCCCTGAAATCTCTTTCCTGATCTCCCACCAGCTCAGCCTAGCTAAGCTGATCCTGACCCCATAGAAACAATGCCCGGGGATGGATGGTTGAAATTCTTTAGGCCTCCAAATCTGGGTGCAATTTGTTCTCCAGTAAAAGGTGACTAATAGACCCCAACATTCCCTAATCCCTCTGGCTTGGACCACCTCAGCAGCTGTCCTCCTTAATATGGGCCTTGCCCTACCCCCAACGTCCCATTTTGTCACTCCTCCGTTCTAGAGCCATCTCTCCTTCGCTTTTTTCACCTGTCAGAGCTGCTCACACTTGCCTTAACTCAGTTACACCCTAGTACCCCCTAGAGAGTCTGAGCTGCCTAGCCTGTCTCATGAAATGTGATGCTGGAAAACGTTAGCTTTAGCAGAAATTCTTCCAAAGCCTCCAGCACATAGTAGTCAGTAAATGTTTGTAAGCACACAGGGTCAGGGGCACAGCTCAGTAGGCAGAGTGCTTGTCCAGCATTGGAACAAGCTTCTTGGCCTCTTGTGAAGCCCTGGGTTTGACCCCCAGGCTTGGTGGCATATGCTTGCAACCCTAGCACTAGGAGGTGGAGGAAGGAGGAGCTGAAGTTGAAGGTCAGCCTCTGCTACTTGGTGAGTTCAAGACCAGTCTGGTGTACATGAGAATTTGTCTCAAAGTAAATAAACAAGGGCCAGGGAGCTAGTTCACAGCCTAAAGATACCTGTCACCAAGCTTGACAACCCAACGTTGATCCCTGAGACCCACATGGCAGAAGGAGAGAACTGACCCCTGTGTTATATACTCTGAACTCCATGTACAGGGTGTGACATGCACACATGCTCGAACACACAGTAAATCAGATGTAAAAAAAAAAAAATACCTTTTTATTTTGATTTTTCGTCTTTCTGTATAACTCTGGCTGTCTTGAAACTCTCTCTATAGAGCAGGCTGGCCTCGAAAATATCCATGTAAACCTACCATGGCTGTTTATCGAGTGTTGCCCAGGACTGGATCCGGAGCCTCTCCCTCAGCTCTGTTACCCTTGGCTCGGCCCACTATTGCTCACTTTTATTCCTTGAGCCTGGCAGACGGATGCAGCCAATCCCTTTGCCAGCCTTCAGAGATTCAAAGTTATTGTTGGCTAGATAATGAATTGGAGGCCAGCCTGGGCTACCTGAGATTCTGTCTCAAACCTAGCAAAAAAAAAAAAAAAAAAAAAAAAAAATCTGCCTGGTTTGTGACAAGGACTCAGTGAGACTGTGACTGTGCAAAGCAGCTGACCAACTGTGGCGTTCTGTATAGATAGATACAGTGCTGTACAGATAGATACAGCACTCATGGCTGTCCCCCTGCTTCACCACATACATGTCCTTGCTGCTGCAGAGGTTACATTAGCTCTCCGCAAATACTGTGACCTCGTTCGTGCTACCCAACCCTATCCAGAAGGTTCTTCCCTTTCCTTTCTGCCTGACTTGCTCCTACTCATCTGTCATGGCACACTTTAAGGGTCACCTCCTCCATGAAGCTCTAAACATCTTCTCCCAGCCGAATTGCTTCTGTTTTCTGCGTGGGTGCTCTTCCCGCCAGCTCACTCTCCTGTGTAACACCTGCCTCTCATTGCGGGCTGCCTTATCCATCTCTGTATGCTTGTATAGAACAGTCACTCGATGCGCTTAGCCTTCCTTCCTCTATATTCTCATCCTTGACAAGCAGCAGATTCTCTGGAATCCTCCTTATTCCCAAGCAGGTCACACTTGGAGACTTACTCCCTACTCCCCCTCCCCCACTAAAAAACAAGTAAACAAAAATCTCTCCATCAATTACCTGTCCTCTGCAAAAAAAAAAAAAAAAAAAAAAAAAAAAGAATCAAAATGAGGCATGACTGTGGTCTGGCACTCTGCCCCTCTCCCAGGGTCTGGGAAAGACAAGAAAGGCGTAGGGAAGGATGCAGGCAGGGGAGAGGCTCCAGCACCCTGCCCCACCCCCACCCCCCCAGGAAATTGGCTTTGGCTCCACAGTGGTGATGGTGGGGGTGTCGGTGTTCCGGGGTTTTCTGGCATTTCATTTATGCCTTGGAAGTTGGCTAGGGCTGTCAGGGGATCTAGGGAAAGGCCTGGCTGGTGGCAGGGGGGTGTCTCTGACATCTCCCTTCGCCCAGGGCAAGATCAAACATCAAAAGCACAAGCTGGTGCCTGGGTTGATGGAGCCTGGCAAGCCTCTTCCAGATGTGTACAGCTGTTTCTCCCAGTTCCCATGCAGAGAGGCTTGGACTTGGAGACCTCTGCCAGCCGTTCTGTGGGTCTCAGACACCTAGGTTTGGGACTAAGGGGGTTCGCATCCTCTTGTCTTCATCCACAGCCACAGCTCTCTGCTGATAGAGACCCGCATCTCCTCTCAGCCTCTCCTTTGTCCACGGCACCATGAGCTGGGAAGTCCTTCTTGCTGCGTGTTCTACATCCTTCCTGATGTGGTAGCAGTTCTCCTGAGACTGCAGAAAGGTAGAGGAGAGACTCTCAGGCAGAGAGGAAAGGAAGAAAAATGCTTAGTATCGTTTGACCTGGGAAATGTGGGAAGATAATGAAATACATGGTGCTCTAGTTAAACTGAAAACGGGAGTATCCACTTCCGGGAGCATCCACTTCCGGGCACTCCGCTGGCAGGGCTCTTAGCCTCTTAGCCGCCGGAGTCCCTCTTCCCAAATGCTATAAGCTCCTAATAAGGATGTAATACAGCTGAATGTATTACAAATTTGATTGTTTATAGACATTTACTCAACTGCAGACGAGGACTGGGAAGACTGACCCCGTGGGAAGATGGAAGCTCAGGAGATTGAGGGGGGTGAAAAGGGAAGGTTGGGAAGAGCAAAGAGCAGAGGAGAGGGGAGGGGCATCGAGATGGGAAAGGGGAAGGAAGGTGTTTGGAAGAGGGGAGGAGTGAGAAGGAGCAAGAGTAGACAGAATGGAAGGGGAGAAGGGGAGGACGCAGGGCGGTGAGTGGAGGAAGGAAGCTCAGGGAGGCGATGGGACTGTATTGCCCCTTAGAGTGGCCACATGCCCGGGCTCAGGCTCTGTGGCTCAGATCATGGAAGTCTGTTGGGAGAGTTAACTAGGATTACTGCCATGGAGTGGGGGTTGAGGGGCAGGGAGGATAGAAAGACAGCCTACCTCTATGGTCTCAGGCTGGCTGCAGCCATGGGAGGAAGGGTATGACTCTCCTGCATACCTCAGATTTGCAACTTTGCAGGCCGCATCCTGCATGGTGAAGTAGGAAGCATGGCCCCGCCCACCCATAGCCCAGGGGGCCACTGTGAGAGCTGGAGCCTGGGGCCAGCCCTCAGCAGCTCAGTCTATAGATGAGAACTGGGCTCAGGAAGAAGGACATAGATGCTGCTGCTAGGGCCACCATCACAGTCTGGCAATGGTGGCATAAGAACTGGTGTCCTCCTTCTCCTCCTCTTTCTTGCCACACCCATGGAGGCCACCACATTGGGGGTGGGGGTGGTTGATGCTTGTCTCTAAGATGGCAGAACTTTCCCAGGCCTAACTCTTAATCCAGAAAAGAGAAGACAAGAGTCCTCCTCTTTCCCCATGAGTCCCACTCAAGTTGGAGAGAGAGAGTACTGTATGAAGAAAGGCTCATTAGTCCCAAAGGTTACACTGTCCTTACTCCCAGGTACAGGCAGGGGGAGGTGACACTGTCTGATATATGGGACTTGGAGAAGGGCAGGAGTCAGGAGGAATCTCTGAGGATGAGCAGAGACAGCCATATCTGCTAAGCCAACCCAAGGAATGAGTCTCAGAAAGGCTCATTGAATTGATCAGAACAATGGTCTGGTTTTGCTGGTAGAGCTCTAGCAGGCTCTAGAACCTTCTAGGACCCTCTTCTCAACTAGAAGGTCTACATCATATTATCCTTCTTCTCGGTTGTCTACTCCCTTACTCCAACATGTACAAACATACACACATTCATTCATTCATTCATTCATTCATTCAACAAACACCAGAAATTGGCACATGCCAGCCACTAGCCTAGTCACAGAGACTCATCAACATGGTGCCCATCTCCAGAGAGCCGGTGGTCTAAGGGCAGAAGCAGGCAGGGTCTATAACAATGGGAATAACCATCAAGCCTGGCGTGTAGTAGGTAGCCAGGGCATCTATCAAATGTATAGTATGAACAAACTTCTGGGGGCAGATGGAGGTTTTGGCGGGGGAGGGAGACTTGCCCAGAGGACAAGGCTCAGGAACCTGAGTTCTGTGAGGACATAGATGTTCCCCTGCAGACCTTGGAACCCTGTGCTGGGTCCAGCAGGGAGCAGGAGAAAGGTACAAGTATGGTTAGTTAATCCTGTGGCAGTTAAGAGCTATGGGCTATCAGTAGCAGAAAGGCAGAGAGAGAGAGAGAGAGAGAGAGAGAGAGAGAGAGAGAGAGAGAGAGA